TCCTTTTCCCCTCTCACTCCCCGTAGAGGGTAGAGGGGGATCGCCTCCCACCCTGGAGTCTCCGATCCCGGCCCGATTTTATCTTCCCCGGTTCGCACTCACGTTAGAAGGCTCTCTCAGTGGATTCTGCGTCTTTTTTCTCCCAATCTCTCAGGTTTTGTAAGGTTTCCAAAGTCTTTAGATCTTTTCTGTGTGATGTATGGGCGCGAGTGCAAGTACGGAGCTCCTTACTTCTCCGCCATCTTGCCCAGTCCCCCCGAAGGTCCCACGGTATTAGCACAGAGCCCCATGTGAAGCTTGAACTCACAAACTGTGAGATCATAACCGGACTTGGTCTGACGTTTAACTGATTGTGCTACCCAGGCACCTCTCTTGCTTACTTTTCCAATCTCACTTCTCATCAGCCCATCACACCATGTATTATACACATGCCAAACTATGGGTAGTTTCCCCAAATGTGATATAATCTTTCTCAGCTGACTTTAAGAATAGAAACTTGAAAATGGAAGGAGCAATATTGTTCATTGAAATCTGAGGCTTTATGGATGAGATAGATTTTGAGTTGAGGGAAGGTACTAAAAAGAATATAGTGCCTATATATACAAGTAAGGCAATGTAGCAGAAAAGTGGGGAGATTCACCAAGATGGAGCAGAGGGTTGGATTTCGATAATAAAAATGAGGCATACAGAGAGAGTGGTGACAAATAGTGGAGGTCTTATAAAAAGGTTTAGTAGGTCATCATGTCTTGATTGCCTACACGTCCCGTAGTCCTCAAAGTGTATCTGGTGATTATTAGTCACAAAAGAGTTTGTTTTTTGTTTTTTGTTTTTCAGTACACCTGGCAACCCAGCCCTTGTTTCTAACTGTAAAGGAAATAAATGTAGGTTTCTTTTAGTTATTTCACTCTATTTTCAGCTCTCTGGCCACAAGCTATAAAAATATCTACAACATTTTTTGAGTTACTTTATGGCAGCTCCAGAGATAATTTTATTGCGCACAATTTATCCATATCTAAAACTTCTTGGTAAATGACATATGTTATCAATTTTTCTAGTTTAGAAAGGTTAAATGGGATACATTGTAAGTTGAGTAAAGACTGCAAGGTACTGATGAGTTTCAACTATTTTAATTATGTGCATCACATTCATAAAACAATAACAATAATAAACAACATTAACAATAATATAGCAATTTATTATGGCTGATGTTAAATCTATATTGGACATTACAATATTAAAAACATCTGTCATGAAATTTCTTAAAAGTAAAGACCATCTTCTTCTGGAAACAGAGACTTATACAAAAGATGAAGAGAATTTCTGGATGGAAAATAGGACTGCACATTTGAGTCATTAACAATACAAAATAATTTTTATATGGTGGCTAGAAAGGACCACAATGTGTCTTTTTCCTTATTTCATAATCTGCCAGAAGCAAATAGGATGAATGGGGCAATTGTCACATGGTATTTTAAAGTAACATTGTTGGCCCTATGGACATGCAATGAGGAGGAGATAAAAGAATAAACATAATAAACATTGCTCAAGGATCTCTGCAATATTTGAAGTTATTTGCTCATATCCTCAAACCTTTCTGCTATGCCTTTGTCCTTTCCATCTCAAGGTATTCTTTTCACTAATCAAGGGTCAAGGTTTTATCTGCTACCTGTCTGGAGGTTGAGCTGCAACAATAGGATAAAAAGAAACTTGGAAGATAAAACTTGTAATAAAAGAAAAAAATATTTTTATTCTTAGACTAATTTAGATTATTGAATAGAAAATATTAGATATCATGAGCCTTGAAAGCTTCAGACCCATGTCCAAAAAACTAATTTGATTTTCTTATAATCACAACTATAACACTGTAGCCTGGGTGTCTGATAATATTAGGTTAACACAGTAGTTACGACACTGACACCTTTAATTACATGTTATTTTAAACATATAAAGTTAACTCTAAATTTTTCATTATAGACTCTGATTCTTTTTCACTTAGTAGCTGTGTCATCATAAAATGGCTATTTGACTACATAATGTAGTCCTCCTTTGTAAAATAAGGATAATAAGGAAAATGATGTAATTTCATAGGATTATTTCAGAGGTTTAAATGAACAATTACATGTAAAACTCAAGAATCTATGTCAGACATTAAGTGCTACTAAATGTTGGTTATGAAATGGCTGCCTGAAGATTTACACTGAATTTTATGTATTTTTATATATTTTACAATTTCAACATTGATGTCTTTATTATGTCACATCATGTTCTATTTGTAAAATATATTCAAGACTAGTATAAAGCCATGGTAATACTCATACTGAGAATTGATTTTTTTGGAACTTTTGGTTCAAATTCTCACAATTAGCAATCTTATTCTGATTCAGAGCCTTTTGCAACTATCTATAAATTGTCTTCTCAAGGCCTAGAATAAAATTGTGTTTACCTCATTATTTATCACTATGTAGCTACATAAGATGAACTATGCTTCTTGCCTGTGAACGTTGTCCATTTGTGGTATAATATTTATGTGATGAAATAAGATAGTGCTGGTGCTTGTTTCTTCTATTGTTTCTACTTCATTTACAACTTGATAGGTTATCCTTTTATTCAGGGAGTACCAAGACAGTAAGTGTGAACAGACTGTTCCCAACTTCTTACAAACATGTTATTTGTAATAAAAATGGCTTTCTTATTAAAATCACTCTAAGAATGCAGATGGCTGTGGTTCTCAAAGTAATCCAAAAGCCGAACAAGTTATCAATGGTGTGTGTGTGCGTGTGTGTGTGTGCCGCACACACACACGTGTATATGTATTTTTACAGGTTCTTTGTGACAAGGTAAAAATGTGGTGGTAGTGGATATATTAGGAGACCCACTTTCAAGAATCAGCAATTAGGTAGTTTAGTTAAGGGGCGCCTGGGTGGCTCAGTCGGCTAAGCGTCTGACTTCTGCTCAGGTCATGATCTCACGGTTTGTGGGTTCGAGCCCAGCATCGTCAGGCTCTGTGCTGACAGCTAGCTCAGAGCCTGGAGCGTGCTTTGGATTCTTTGTCTCCTTCTCCCTCTCTCTCTGCCCCTCCCCCACTCGTGCTCTGTCTTTCTCTGTCTCAAAAATAAGCAAAACAAAACAAAAAAGGAAGTCCACTTAGTTCAGAACAGCTTGACAGCTTTGTTACTTTTTGAATGGAATTAGTAGATCAGGGTGTTAAAGTGACCTCAGAATGGGAAAAACAGAAGCTGGTGGTTAACAAGTGAGCATTTGTTAATGTAGAATGCTTATATTCTTGGTATTTGAAACTTTAAAAAGTCTGCGATTGTGTGTGTGTATGCCTGTGTGTGTGACGAGATAGGGGCAGGTCAGGAAATACAAAGGATGGTGTAGAAGAAAAATATTTTTTACAAATGTACCTGGACCAGCCAGAACACATAGGGATTCAATGATATGATAAAAAAAATAAAGATTATTGTAATCATGTTTATTATTCCACAATATCCCTCTTTCTCTATATAACATTATTTCCTTTGTCTTTACCTCAAATATAACCCTCTCTTGCTACTACCTACTTATCAACATTCTTCATTTTATTGAAGGATTCTATTACAATGGGTCAACAGTTTCTATCCCGAAACATTCCACTTAATGAATCCAGGTAACTTTAGAAGTGGATTGGTTGACATGACTTATGAGAGACAAAAACTGAAATTTCATACTTTGCTGATTTATTCATTTCACATTTATTGTCTTTGATACCCAATACATGCAAACTCAGACTTTAAAACTTTGGAAAATGTAGTTTATTAATTATCCCTCAAGGAGAAGGTGAAATAAATTCAGACACTACTGCCTCCGTTTTTGTTTTTTTTTTTTCAAACCTGGAAAACATGGCATATTGTACAGACCCTGCAGCTGTTGAATGCACCACATCTACACTGGTGTCACTCTAGCAAACATTTCTGAGATTTGAAAACCTAGTGAAATCTTTTTGAGAATAAAATGTCTCTTTAGTCAATTATTTAACATTTATGATGCTGAGTAATAGTCTTAAAGTGTTCCTAAGTTAGTCTATGCCAATTTTTGGACTCAAGTTGATGCTGTCTGTTTTTTTCTATCTACTCAGATAAGATTTATCATTGATTCTGTGGTTATATTTGAGGATGTCAGGCCAAAGACTCGTGAGGCATCAAGGAAAATATATAATTTTGAAATTCCTACAGAAAGAAGGTCACTGGCACAGATTTTCCACAATGGGGGCAGTAATAAAGTGCACTTTACTTGGGATAGCTGGTTTTCCTTTGGATTTCTCACTTGGGTCACTGTACATTTGTGGTTGGCTCAGAAAACTATACATGGTACAGATAAAGGAAGAAGGCTAGATTCAATCTGAGACTTTGATCTTTAAACAAATGAACAATTGTTTTTTCCCCCCAAACTATTCAGAGAACAATGGGCAGATCATATGGTTGGCAGGAGGAACTCTTTTATTTGCTTAATATTATTTATTTTGTTACATTCAATTTAAGATCTTTTACCAATTCACTTCCAAAAGAGATGCCAACTTAGTTCACCATATTTTAATTAAACACTTTCAGGATTCTGTCTTATTTAATAAGGAACTCAGCAATAGGATACCATGGAAGCACTTTAGTATTATGAAGAAATTATCAAATTGATATATAAAAGAGTGACTTTATGGAAAGATTTTGTGCACAGATGACCTCAGTAAAGAAGTTTAACAATTAACAGACCTTGAGCAAGTTGCAGTATATTTGGATAGGAGATGGTTTGTTGTTATTTTAGACTGAAAATTCCCAGAAAGCATGTCTCCCACTGTAACAAAACACAATATATCACTTTTTAAAAAAGCTATAAATAGAAAAACTGTTTATCTATATGTAAACATAATTAAGAAGCTACAAGGCAGGACATTGCTTTGATTATTTGGAGTATGTTGGTACTATATACTTAAATATGCCTAAAGGATAGGTTTAACTAAGATTTATTTCAATGAATATTAGGCAGAAGAAGAATTAAACCTATTCATCTACCTTAATGGTTCCATGATCAGAAAGGAAAAGATACACTGGATGGACCATTTTGAAATGAAAATATGAAAACTTCTGTCAACTTTAGTTAATCCATTTTGATGACATTATACTATGAATTTAGACATTCCTGAACCAAGACTTATCTGTAGATTCCTAAAATGTTCAAGATATTTACAAACAAAAGCATTTTTGTTAATTTTTGAAGCAATTACTAGAAATACTAATTTTTAAGAGAACTTTGGTGCAAAAAGCATAGCACATTTGGTATATTCAGATATCTGTTGCTAAGAAGACTTATATAACTCTCAATTTACAAAACTCTGGTTATAGTAGACTATACTATATGAACATTTTCTTCCATATCACTACTGAATCATCTTTGTTTTTTTATAAAAATATACAATACATCAGAGATTACCATTTCTTTTAATGATACTAACGCAGGTGTTCTTAAGTACATTGGATGTTGTCAAGAACTTCAACTAATTAAATCCTTGAATAATTTTTTATAAATAAAATCTATTTTAAAAGTTTCAGATAGGACACTATTTTTATCTATATAATATGGAATGATATTGTTTCTTAAGAATTGTAAATGACTTCTAGATAATTTATTAAATGATACTAGGCTTTTAGTAACATAGTTCTAAAACCATTATCCATGAGAGCCAATGTTAACCTTCACAAAAAGGAAGATAATTTCAGGAGTTGCTGGTTATTTTTGAAAAGTGCAACAAGTATAATAATTAATACACACATATTTCCAACTACTTTAATACACTGGTGACATGTAATCTGAACAACAAAAATGTTTTCGAACCATTCTAAGAACTCAGTGAGATAATATTTTATTTGTCTTCACATACTTTCTATTCTCCAATACCCACTTGTTTTCCTATTAATATAGGAAAAGATTAAAAGCACTTTAAAGGGCACTATGGTTTTTTTTTTGTTTGTTTGTTTTTTACAAATAATTTACTGTCAAATTAGTTTCCACATAACACCCAGTGCTCATCCCCACAAGTGCCCTCCTCCATGCCCATCTCCCCTCCCCCCACATCCATCAGTCCTCAGTTTTTGTCAGCACTCAAGAGTATCTCATGGTTTGCCTCTCCCCTTTCCTCCACCATTTACCCACTTCTTCTCCCCTTTGTTCCTCCATTAAGTCCCTCCTAATCCTCCTATACGTGCAAACATATGGTATTTGTCCTTCTCTGCCTGAATTATTTCGCTCAGCATAACACCCTCAAGATCCATCCATGTTGCTACACATGCCCAGATTTCATTCTTTCTCATTGCCATGGAGTATTCCATGGTATAGATAAACCACATCTTCTTGATCCATTCATCTGTTGATGGACACTTAGGCTCTTTCCATGTTTTGGCTATTGTGGAGAGTGCTGCTATGAATATTGGGGTACATGTGTTCCTATGGATCAGCATTTCTGTATTCCTTGGGGAAATTCCTAGCAGTGCTATTGCTGGGTCCTAGGGGAGTTCTATTGTTAGTTTCCTGAGGAACCTCCACACTGTTTTCCAGAGGGGCTGTACCAGTTTACATTCCCACCAACAGTGTAGGAGGGTGCCCGTTTCTCCACATCCTCGCCAGCATCTAGAGTTCTCTGATTTGCTCATTTTAGCCACTCTGACTGGCGTGAGGTGGTATCTCAGTGTGGTTTTGATTTGTATTTCCCTGATGAGGAGGGATGCTGAGCATCGTTTCATGTGTCTGTTGGCCATCTGGATGTCCTCTTTGGAGAAGTGTCTGTTCATGTCTTCTGCCCATTTCTTCACTGGGTTGTTTGTTTTTCGGGCGTGTAGTTTGGTGAGTTCCTTATAGATTCTGGATATTAACCCTTTATCTGATATGTCATTTGCAACTATCTTTTCCCATTCCGTTGGTTGCCTATTAATTTTCTGGGTTGTTTCCTTGGCTGTGCAGAAGCTTTTAATCTTGATGAGGTCCCAACAGTTTATTTTTGCTCTTGATTCCCTTGCTTTTGGGGATGTGTCAAGTAAGAAGTTGCTGCGGTGGAGGTCAAGGAGGTTGTTTCCTGCTTTCTCCTCTAGGGTGTTGATAGTTTCCTGTCTCACGTTCAGGTCCTTTATCCATTTTGAGTTGATTTTTGTGCATGGTGTGAGAAAATGATCTAGTTTCATTCTTCTGCATGTTGCTGTCCAGTTCTCCCAACACCATCTGTTAAAAAGGCTGTCTTTTTTCCATTGGATATTCTTTCCTGCTTTGTCAAAGATCAGTTGGCTGTATACTTTTGGGTCCACTTCTGAGTTCTCAATTCTGTTCCATTGGTCTATGGGTCTGTTTTTGTGCCAATACCATACTGTCTTGAGGATGACAGCTTTGTAGTAGAGGCTGAAGTCTGGGATGGTGATACCTCCCGTTTTGGTTTTATTTTTCAGTATTACTTTGGCTATTCGGGGTCTTTTGTGGTTCCATACAAATTTTTGGATAGTTTGTTCTAGTTTTGAGAAGTATGCTGGTGCAATTTTGATTGGAATTGCATTGAATGTGTAGAGTGCTTTAGGTAGTAATGACATCTTAACTATATTTATTCTTCCTATCCATGAGCATGGAATGTTTTTCCATTTCTTTGTGTCTTCTTCAATTTCCTTCATAAGTTTTCTATAGTTTTCATCATACAGATCTCTTGTATCCTTGGTTAGGTTTATTCCGAGGTATTTTATGGTTTTTTGTGCAATTGTGAATGGGATCAGTTTCTTGATTTCTCTTTCTGTTGCTTCATTATTGGTGTATAAAAATGCAACCGATTTCTGTACGTTGATTTTGTACCCTGCAACTTGGCTGAATTCTTGGATCAGTTCTAGTAGGCTTCTGGTGGAGTCTGTCGGGTTTTCTATGTAGAGTATCATGTCATCTGCGAAGAGTGAAAGTTTGACTTCCTCTTTGCCAATTCTGATGCCTTTGATTTCCTTTTGTTGTCTGATGGCTGATGCTAGGACTTCCAGCACTATGTTAAACAACAGTGGTGAGAGTGGACATCCCTGTCGTGTTCCTGATCTCAGGGGGAAAGCTCTCAGTTTTTCCCCGTTGAGGATGATGTTAGCTGAAGGCTTCTCATAGATGGCTTTGATGATGTTTAAGTAGGTTCCTTCTATCCCAACTTTCTCGAGAGTCTTTATTAAGAAGGGATGCTGTATTTTGTCAAATGCTTTTTCTGCATCTATTGACAGGATCATATGGTTTTTATCTTTTCTTTTATTGATATGATGTATCACATTGATTGATTTGCGAATGTTGAACCAGCCCTGTAACCCAGGAATGAATCCCACTTGATCTTGGTGGATGATTCTTTTGATATGCTGCTGGATTCGATTTGCAAGGATCTTGTTGAGAATTTTTGCATCCGTATTCATCAAGGATATTGGCCTATAGTTCTCTTTTTTTGCTGGATCTCTGTCTGGCTTGGGAATCAGAGTGATGCTGGCTTCATAAAATGAGTCCGGGAGTTTTCCTTCGACTTCTATTTTTTGGAATAGCTTGAGAAGAATTGGGATTAATTCTGTTTTAAATGTCTGGTAGAATTCCCCAGGGAAACCATCAGGTCCAGGGCTCTTATTTGTTGGGAGATTTTTGATCACTGATTCGATTTCTTCACTCGTTATGGGTCTGTTCAGGTTTTCTATTTCTTCCCGTGTGAATTTTGGTAGTGAGTGTGTGTTTAGGAATTTGTCCATTTCTTCTAAGTTGTCCAATTTGTTGGCATATAATTTTTCATAGTATTCCCTGATAATTGCTTGTATTTCTGAGGGGTTGGTTGTAATAAGTCCATTTTCATTCATAATTTTGTCTATTTGGGTGCTCTCTCTTTTCTTTTTGATAAGCCTGGCTAGAGGTTTGTCAATTTTGTTTACTTTTTCAAAAAACCAACTCTTGGTTTCATTGATCTGTTCAATTGTTTCTTTGGTCTCTATGTTGTTTATTTCTGCTCTAATTTTTACTATTTCTCTTCTTCTACTGGGTTTAGGGCGTTCTTGTTGCTCTGCCTCTAGCTCCTTTAGGTGAGCTGTTAGATTTTGGACTTGTGCTTTTTCTAATCTCTTGAAATAGGCCTGGAGAGCAATGTACTTTCCTCTTAGGACTGCCTTGGCCGCATCCCATAGATTTTGAATTGTTGTGTTTTCATTTTCATTTGTTTCCATATATTTTTTAATTTCCTCTCTAATTGCCTGATTGGCCCATTCATTCTTTAGAAGGGTGTTCTTTAACCTCCATGTTTTTGGCGGTTTTCCAGACTTCTTCCTGTAATTGATTTCAAGTTTCAAAGCATTGTGATCTGACAGTGTGCATGGTATGATCTCTATTCTTTTATATTTATTGAGGGCTGCTTTATGTCCCAGTATGTGATCTATCTTGGAGAATGTGCCATGCGCACTTGAGAAGAAAGTAAATTCCCTGGCCTCAGGATGTAAAGTTCTAAATATATCCGTCAGATCCATCTGGTCCAATGTGTCTTTCAAGTCCATTATTTCTTTAGTGATTTTCTGTCTGGTTGACCTATCCATTGCTGTAAGCGGAGTATTAAAGTCCCCTGCTATTAGCACATTCTTATCTATAAGCTTGTTTCTGTTTGTGATTAATTGTTTTAGATATTTAGGTGCTCCCATATTCGGTGCGTAGACATTTATGATTGTTAGTTCTTCCTGATGGATGGACCCTGTAATTATTATGTAGTGCCCTTCTTCATCTCTTGTGATTGTCTTTAATTTAAAGTCCAGTTTGTCTGATATAAGTATCGCTACTCC